CTCTTAGGATATCTCCTGCTATATACAAACATCTTGTAGGGTGATAAGCTCTAGAGCTGCCAGTACATTAGTCTGTGGATGCACCATGGGCCCCATCTCGCTTCCTCTCAACTACTTCGGCTCATGTGCCAGGGCAGATAAATGACAGGGCAAAAAAAGAAATAAAAACATTACCCCCTACTGCCCTTGCAGACACTCCTGACAGGAAGGGAAACACAGACTCACTCTGCAGCTGACATTTTGTCTAAATAAAACACAATGAACAGCTAAAGTCATATTTAAAGGCTGTATTCAAGTGGTTTGTGAAGTTTCTGTTTATGTCAGTGAATGTGGTCCTACAACTGCTGTTAAAAAAAGAAAAATGTTTCAGTCTTAAAGGAATAGTTCAACATTTTAGGAAATGTGCTTTTTCCCCTTTCTTGTCAAGGGATAAACAAATAACTCTCCATTGAACAACAAATTGTCATTTTTACATTTCAGTTTTGAACTAAACAAACAAGAACATTATGTCGTATTAATTAATGAGCTTTAGAGGTGCTGGTAGGAGGATTTTGTCACCTTTGGACAGAGCCAGGCTAGCCGTTTCCCCCCGTTTCCATTATTTATGCTAGGCTAGGCTAACTGGCTCCAGTTACATAATTACTGTACTGATAGGAGAGGTGGTATCGATCTCCTCATCTAACTCTCAGCAGGCAAGACATAAACAAAATATCAAACTATTCCTTTTTTGTCTGTATTGCCTTCTAGCACCAATTTTTTTTCCCCCCAGTGGGAATCAAACTGCTAACTATGGCAGTGTGCCAGGGGGTTAGTGCCATGCTCTGGGCTATAAAAGACCATTGTACATATACACACGACATCCTTGATAGACATAGATAAGCATAGCCCATCACTTGATCCAATCAGCAGCTGTAAAGACAAAGACAACAGCAGGGCCATTGAAGTCAACTGAACGTTAACATTTCCATGGGTGCACAGAGGGAGACGGCGACTATTGTGTATAAAATCATGTGTGATTGTGACGATAAAAACAGCTGTCAGTTCGATTGAGATAAATGTATCCACTCTCAGAGAGTAATACCTAAGAACAAAAGTTTTTATAGAGGAAGAGCAACAGACAAGAGAAGAGCCCAGAAAGTTTGATAGCCAAATGAAAGAAAGTGAAAGAGAGAGAAAGAAAAAGAGCCAATATCAGTCTCCCTCCTCTCAGCCAGCAGAAAAAGCACAGTGGATTAATTCATCACCATGCTGAGCCTTTGCCCTCCTCTGGAATAAATTACCCAATGACTCTCAACTTAGACTAAACACACACACACACACACACACACACACACACACACACACACACACACACACACACACACACACACACACACACACACACACACACACACACACACACACACACACACACACACACTACTGACCAGAGGGCACACACAAAAACAGTGGAAGAGAAAACTGACAAATGGAGAGAGGCTGCCCAGGTCAGCGGTGTATCATATCTTACTACACACTCCTAAAAAGTAAGCTGTATCATGTGAGGTGTTTGGTCCATTGACTTTTTTAAGTTTTTCAGTTCACTGCAAGTTAGCAAGTGTTTCCCAACCGAGGCTTTAGTTTAGAAAAGCAACCTTGTGTGCCTTGTCACTTCTGGGGATGGGAGGGTTTTAATGGGGGAAGTCTGAGGTATGGCTGAGTGATTCCACCACTTATGTTAATGCATGCAGAGGCTAGAATCAGGCAGCAAGCAAGATGGTATTACTCTCCAGATACTTATAAGCTTAGCACCTTTTATTGCCCTTTTCCATTTATAGGAAGAGGTAATGGTAAAACTGATTCTACATTTGCTGCTCAGGGGGAGAGCTACTTGATTTCCTTGAGTGGGGGCAATCAGACTGGAAAAGTCAAGGCCAGATAAATGGTGTTGTGTTTGGCTGTGGTCTTTCTCTGTCTGTTTGGCCCTATACACACACACATTAAAAAAAAAGAAAAAAAAAAGCCCACTATCATAGGACCTTGTACTTGAGCCTTATCATCGCCAGAGCAGCCCAGATGGTAACGTACCCTTGACAAAGACTCACATCACACTCCCAAACTTCTATTGAATCTTTCTCACACTGCAGACGCCTGCACATGTTCTCTCCCCGCCTCTCTCTAAGTGTAAAAAAAATTAAGCAAAGATACAGCACAGATTTAACGTTTGCTTAATTCAGTTTTGTAATACGCACAACCTTGTGCACTTGTACTATAGCTACTGCCAACTGTGTCTGGAGGATTATTATCATCCTTTAGGGGATGGATGTGTGTGCTCCCTTCAGAGTCACAATGACACAAGCCAGGGCAAAGACACGCACACAGAGACTACAAGCAAAATGCATAATAATTAGACACAAACAATTTGTGGGAATGTGGATCTGAGGTACTTTCTACTACTAATGATTATTTTTTTGATTAATCTTCCAATTATTTCCTCTTTGTTTGGTCTAAAAATACTGAAAAATCTACATTTTTTTACTCTCACAAGTTCCTAAAACCCAATGTGATGTCTTCAAATTGCTTCTTGTGTCCAACCAACAGTCCAAAACTCCAAAATCAGTGAATCCTGACATTTGAGAAACTGGAAGAAGAGAATGTTTGGCATTACTGCTCGGTTATCAATATAGTTGCTGATTAATTTTCTGTCCATCAACTAATCCATTAATCAACTAATGGTGCAGCACTGCTATTTCAAACAAAACAGTGACATATATTCCAAATGAAATCCAAGTGCTTCTTGCAATGACATGTTCAAAAGGCCTCGTCAAATCTAGGTGCACATGCACAATTCCAGAACAATCTATGGCTATTATTGATCTCTTTTGGGAAAATCAAATCAAAAGAGCTACAGCAAGCGCGATCGGCACGTATCACTACGCCTCGAACGCATCATGACAAGCTGAAAGTACACGTGATTATTGATGAGAGCAGCTATGACTTACTTTTCTATACATTATGGTAAAATTAAACCCTGGCCCGCTCACTAGGGACAACTACAGAGGACGTTAAAGATGACACCTTACAGAACAGAGATGAACCATTTCCAGCCGGAGGAGATTTGTATACCATTAGTCTAACTCAATCAGGGGACTAATTCAATCAAAGGCACAGTGGGCGTCTTGACGTGGGGGCATCTGTCACACCGACTTCTCACTGCATCCTGCAGTGACATTTGGCCACAAAATTCAGCTTGACAGAGGCCCTCAAATAGCCTGCGGCCTGTCAGACAAACGCACACATACTCATGGAAACAACCAACGCACAGACACACTCATGCACTACTAAATTCACAAGATCACACTTTTTTTTTTTCTTTTTTTTTTACAGATGTTTTGTGTTTGCAGACGCCTGCAGATGTACATGCAAACATTACAGTGCGAGCTTCATTCTTCATTTAGAATAACTGTTCTCTACTCAGTATTGCTTGATTAATGAATTTTCTGCAAATAAGGGCTGCATGTTATGGTAAAAACATTATATTGTGATTATTTTGACAGATATATTGTGATACAGTTTAGATAGATTCACAATTAGCGCGGAAATGATCACTTTTGAATTAGAAATAAAAAAAATTGGGGTCTGTATCAAATAAACATGTTTTCTTAAATTTGGAGAACAAGATTTGTAGGCCATTAATGAAGTACTGTGGGTCTGAAGGTCTACAGTACATGCGGTTTGGTTGCATATTTATCAAAAAATTGCAGCTTTTGCGATTTGAATATTGCACTTGGTCGTACTGCAATTTTGATAATTATCGGATTAATTGTGTAGCCCTACTACAAACGGGATGAGGCCTTCAGCCAGCACACATGAAAGCTTCTTCTTCACGTCTTAGTTTGATGCACAAAAAGATAATCTTTCTCACCTCCAAACACACTGAAACACACACACATCTGAGTAATAGTGATAGGTTGTTCTTATGTGCACATGTCACCTCTTACACAATACATAAATGCAAATTAATACCTTGATTAGAAGCACCTATTAAGTCCCTACATACAAGCAGGCACAGCACATTTTGTTATCCTCTGTTTGTGTAATTATTTGTGGTTCAATACACAAATGGGACTGTTATTTTTTGGGATGATGTAACGCACTGATGGCAAACTTTTTGCTATTATGTCGCACAATCCCTTTCACTACCTACTCCTACTTTCCATTCACATATTCCTGTTTTCTTTGTAAACACTTACAGTTAAACGTTAATTTAAAGTTAACTGTGAATTACTCGTCTCATTTTAGGCATGAAACACAAAGTCTGGGCCTCGATAGGATCCCAAAAGACGGGGCATCCTTTTAAAAGGTAGAAAGGTGAATCAGAGGCCAAAGCTGTGTGAACTAAAAAAGAACCATGTTTGACAACAGATGTCAGTGCTTCATGGTTAGACTTTGGCTCGTCGTATAGCCATTGCGTACAGAATGAAGTGACTGACAACTGCTACAAATGTTGGCTTTTTCCTGACTCTTGCATAAAAAACTACAAAGAGAACAATACCTCAGGTTAGTGTAGAGGGCTGCGACCCTGTGACCTCTCCGCTGAGTGTGTATGTAAAAAAGTAGCAAAGTTGAAGAGTCTTGAAATCTTTAGTTTGAAGGTAGGTAAAAGGAACGTTGTTGCAATGTTTATAAAAAAATAAACAGTAAAATGTTGCCGCATGTTGTACTGAATAGTCAAACCCATAGTGGCTGTTTTCCCTCTTTTTTAGTCTCCTGAAACATCTGTTGTATATATTCTCTATAATATGCTGTTAAAAATATATATACACAAGTTTTGGAAGGATCTATGATGTCCTAAAAGTCCTATAGTTCTTTCCTATTATGCATAGAGGCCTTTTGCAGAACAACTTTATGTAACACGTTCACTCAAACATAAACTTCTCACCCTCACACACACATACACACACACACACACACTGTTGCTCCTGTGTCTCTGTAAATGTAATGAATGTAGGTTCTCTCACCTTGCAGCTCGGGGGTTTTAGGGGTAGTCCCGAGGCAGGATTTCCTTGATGCTGAGTGGTATTAGTCTGCTGGGGTGAGTGGGAATCCTCGGACTCTTTTCCACTGTGGTAGACCACCCTATCAGAGATATGAATACTTGAAGCACAGCCCATGCTTCAACCCACTTCAGCCTTTTTCTTTTTGCGCAAGTGCTTTACTTTGAGGCTACCCGAGTGTCATTCGTCTTCTCTTTTCTTTTTATTTCTTAAAGGGTCCACTCTTCCTTTTTAAAGGTTCATATTTTTTTAAATATATATATATACATATATATAAATACATATGTATCATCTAGGCCACAGCAAAGCCGGTTCTCCAATTGCTCTGACACAAGGCATGAATAATAAATCTTTCTATCCCCCACCCCCGACCAGGAAGCTGATTTCCTCCCTCTCTTTTTCACATGAAGTTAATTGGAGGTCTTTAATCAAAGCAGCTGTCTTATCCTCGAAAACTTGGATTCCGTTATTCTTCAGCTGGTCTGCTCAGATCCCCATGGGTGATTTTATCCCTCACTCCGGCTCCTCTTCAAGCCTTCTTCGTACCACATCACCATTTTCTCATATTTTTTTTTTCTCTCCCCCCCACCCCCCCTCAACTTCACTGTTATCAAGTAGGCCTTAAAAACACACCATGCAGTCCCCCCGCCAGCTTCACGCAATAGTTTTATCCATTTTATGTGTCCAAGGTTTCATGTGTAGTCGTCCTCCTCCTCCACCCCGGAGCCATCAAATATGATGCTTTTTTTTCTCCCCCTCTCACTCTCTTTCCCTCTTTCTCTCTCTCTCTCTTAAACAATCTGGTAGCCCACTTCAGCTCAAGACACGGGCCATAAACCGGTTCTCACGACACTTTGCTCCAGTCCTGAGCGGTTCATCATCAACAGGCTGAAATTTTCACACTGCAGGGTGTTATTCTGGTCAGTCGCTCCGATGTCAAACACCCAGCGTGGAACATAATGCCATGTAGTCCGACACAACACTCCATTTATCAGCTTCAATTCACCAATTTAGGAAGCGGTAAGATCTCGGTGGATGGCTTGCAAATCTCCATTCAAGGCATCCGATGACCGGGTTGAGGATGATCCGCCTGATATAAAGAGGTCCAAACCCGGGTGCAATTGGCTACAGTGTTACCAGGCTCCGCGAATTTCTCTCATTCTGTCGTAAAAAAAAAAAAAAAAAAAAAAAAGGATGTAGAGGGCTGTCAGATTGTAATATGTGGACGTACCACCTCTGGAGAATGCAATCGCTTCAGAGAGACAGAGAGAGGGAGAGAGAGAGAGAGAGAGAGAGAGGGAGAGAAAGAGAGAGAGAGAGAGAGGAAAAAACAAACACAAAAAAAAAAAAAAAAAAAAAAACACAAGACCGCTCCGTGTCCACAAGTTTCGGATCTGAAATCGGGGACGGCGGGATTATCTACGGTAGACGACAGCGGAGGTAAGGCAGAATCGAGCTACATAATGCTGATTTTATGTTTGTCTTTTCTCTGCCTTTTCTGGCGTTTGCCCTTCCAATTCTTCAGCACTGCTTGACAGCGGCACATCCAATAAAAGCACCCGCAAGGATTGACCTACAGCCTTTACTGACGTTAATGCAAATGAGCTGCGCGCAGCTAATCGGCGTCGTGCTCTGCGCCGCTGGGTGGTCCTCCGGTTTCCGTGGGAACTTTGAAAGCAGGAAGAAAAAAAAAAGAGCTGCACACGGACTCAGCAGCGAGCTGGTTCGCTGGTACTGCTGTCTGAACATTTTCTGCAGATAGTGCACGCAAACCGGGTGAAAAGCTGGTTTTGGTGAGGTTGTTTTTGTGGTTGTTTTCTATCTACTGCAAAATAAGTGTAATTTGCAGATTGTTTTTTTTCTTAAAACACGCAGTAAAAAAACATTTGTGGTTGAATGTCATGGCTGTGGAATACCAGTAGGGCCAAAATTAGTGTCATTTTTTAGTGGCACATTTTTAATTGCGAAAATGACAAATAGTAAAATATAAATAGACTAATAGATAGTATAGTGTAATGAGAAGTTATTCTAAAATCAGTTGATTATTGTGAATTGTTAGTTAATCAGGGAATGAATTATTGAGTTAAAGGTGTAAGTGTGTAACATTTAGGAGGATTTACAGGCAGATATAGAATATAATATTCATAAATATGTTTTTATTTGGGTATGATCACAAAATCATGAAAATAAGAATCGTAATGTTTTTATTACCTTAGGATGAGCCAGTTTTATCTATAGATGCTGTGGGGTTGACTTCTATGGAGGCTGCCATGATGAACCGCCATGTTTCTACAGTAGCTCAGAACGGACAAACCACACGCTGGCAACTGAGTCCTGCACGGAACCGACCCATTACCCGTAATTATCTTCGCACCCGACCCAACCCGACCTGTGCTACACACAGTCATATTTTTCAGAATAAATCGATAAGATGAATCAATCACCAACTGTTTCCACTCACTCCTCTGCTGCTGCGTCTGGCCAGCTGAGCACTGTTGTCAGTAAAACTCTGTGCCAGTCCACTAAATCCATCTCCACACACAGTTTCAAACGATCTGATGTCCCGGCACACAAACTTTACTGCTAACCGGGGTACAGCATCCTCGTCCTCGTGTGTTGGGGGTTTGAGAGTTGTGTTATGTGTTATTGGAAGAGTTTCTGTCAACTCGTGCAACACCTGAGCTCCTGCTGCAGCTTCCTCAGAGAGGAGATGTGTGGCTTTTACAATTTTACAAAAAAAAATCCTGCTGGCTGATTAGGCTTGATAATATTTATAGATTTAGATATTAAAAATAGCCTACACAGTCATTATCACTTCTGTTTTCTCCAGAAGAAAACCCATTGTAGTTCTCACAACATGGTGCCGATTACGCAGTACGTTTCACAGCCACCTTAGTTTCTCTTTTGTGCTTGGAAGGGGATTTTCCAACAGCAAATGCACCGCTTTATGCCACTAAATCCTACACACTGGACCTTTCATTTCTACCAGGGTTGCAACTGATGTTTTCTTTTTCATCACTGAATAATCCAACAATTACTTTATTAATTGATAAAGCAGTCATATTTATCATTTATTTTGTGTATACAATCTCAGGAAAAGTACTGAGTCCAGTGTATTGCCTTTACATTTCTTGTTTTGTCTAATCAACTGTCCACAATCCAAAAGTATTTAGTTTATAGTCATAAAACATTAAGAGAAGTTTGATGTGTGTGTTTGAAAAATGACTCAACTGGGCACCCGGTTGGCTCAGTGGGTAGAGCTGGCAACCCATGTACCGAGGGTGAGTCCTTGCTGCAGCAGCCCAGGGTTCGGGTCCGGCCTGCGGCCCTTTGCTGCGTGTCATCACCTCTTTCTCTCTGCCCCTCTTTCCCGTCTGTCTTCAGCTGTCCTATCAAATAAAGGCAATAAAAAAGCCAAAGAAAAATGACTCAACTGATAAGTCGAATGTCACAATAGTTTCTGAATAATGAATTAATTAATTGACTGCTTGTTTTACTTCTCTTTTACTTCTCAAGCATTTTCTTGTTTTAAAATGCATTTTTTTCAAAATGTATTTTTCATAATGTCACATTTCATGACGTGTTCTTGTTCACCCACAACCTCACAGTCACTTAATTTATCTATTCTAATAATAAATGGGGATTGAGACAAGAATATGTTAATACCCCCCCCAGGTAATACTTTATTAAACTCATAATGCCCAATCTTTATTTAGATTGTGTGAAAGTGGTATTGTTACAGAGTAATTATGAGGCAGTAGTTTTCCTGTATTGGATTACATTATTATTATATAATATATATATATATATTGGTAGACTATATTAATCCAATGAAACACAACATCAGTCTTCAACCATGTAGCTTAAAGTACTTTGTCTAACGACATTCCTGACACAGTGACATATTATTGTGCAGTAGGTATTGGTAGTGGAAATGTGGCTGTCTAAACCATATTTTGTACTTTTCAATCACAAAGACACTTGAAAGTGACGTAGACCACATTGCTTCGGCTTTTCATCATATGATCATATAAAGACAAAAGCTATGAACTTCCATCACTTTGTCTTGATTTACACCATGTTCATGTTAGTTGATCCCCAGTGCAAACATTGTGTTTTATATTTTAATGAACTGAAGTTGATAACTCTGTTTCTGTCAGTTAAAATTAAAAATGCATCGTACTGTCTTACTAATGTCACATTTATCATTTAATGGCCCTTTTTATTTTTCAAATGTCACTTCCTATTTTCTTGATCTGTATGTTTAAGCATTTATTAGTATTTATTTGTGTCCCTTTTTGACTAGAGTCCTCAATCTATCAGTGACATTTGTTGCATGTGGGAATTCATAATAAGCCTGTCAGGTGATGAAATATATTGTTTTACAATTCACTTTTCTGGTCCCTGTTTAACAAGAGTTCCTGACACTCTATTTTTATCTGTTCAGTTCACAAGCTAACTTATTTGGCTCAGAAATTATTTATTAAATTTCCCTTAAACATTAGGCATTTCATAGGTCTATAGTAACCAACAGTATAAAATCAGAGCCAGAAACTTGATTTTTAAAGCTGATTTGTTGATATATGAGAGTATAAATATTTGATAATAAAATATTCCTTTTTGTGAACACAAATAGCTGAGATGTTTGACAAAGAACCTCTAAATCTGGTTATTGTGAGAGACATATACACAGCAGAACATTTCATAGTTTTATAGTTGGACAAACTATTTAATAGCAAAAAAATTTTCTAAAATACCACAAACAATATTTCTTGTTAGCCAACATATACTTCAGTAATATCTTTTACAAGCTAATATCAGCCCATAATGTGGACCTGTCTGAATTACCTTACAGTCTATGTGTAGCTAAAGTACAAAACACACTGGTAGCGTCACATACCCAAGGTATCCAATAGTAAAGTTGCTCTAGATGTGCCCATCTAGCAATGTTTTTATGGAACGTTGTTACAGTGGCGTATTCTAATGCACTGACAAGATGCAAGATGCTGCTACACAGAAAATAAAAGAGGTGGATGTTATATAGCAGTACTTAAGCAGTACAACACTGCACTTCCACCAAGCTGGCAGACATGCAGGAGACACATAAAGAAAGAAATTATCAAAATTGAGGCAGAGAAATCTTGAATATAGTCCCCGTAACCTCCAAAAATGCTTGATCCATTTCATATAATGCCAATAGCATCTTTTAATTGTGCCCCCTCTCTCTGGTAAACACTCATCTCTCAAATCCGATGCCTCAAGTTTTTAATGGAGACTTTCTGTTATAAATTTGGAGTCCTCAAGGCCAAGTTAAGATAAACCTGGTAACATCATCACGGTTGTTTACTTAGAACAAATGTCCGCACAGGAAGAGAAAAACTCCCCATGACAAATAAACTGACCTTTATGTGTAAAATTGGTGGAGTTCCCCTTTAATGCATGTCAAATGGCACCAGTGTGTGTTGCCTTTGAGAACAATGAGCTTCTACATGCTAAAGGGAGAGCGGCAAAATTGGCTGTTTATTCCCAGTGGGATGTGCAGTACTAGGAAACCCTTCACTTTACAAACCATTATTGATTCAGTGTTAGTATCAATAACAATTACATTTTTGAGAATTTTTTTATGAGGGTGTGCAACTTCAAAATCGCAGTAAATCACAGCTTCAAATGGTTTATTGCCTTTATAAAACAAAAACACACTAGTTTAATATAAGAGTGCAAGTGTTTGATAAATCAGTGTTAGAGATGTGACAGATGCACATAAATGAATCCAGTGTCAGATCATACTCAATTCTTTATAAGCTTTCAGTAACACTGGCTGTATTATTCATGAGGGGATGACATGTTTACTGTTGCCTGGTTTGCACTTTTGTCATTTATGTGTGTTTGTCAGTTATTGTGCTGCTACATTCTTTAGCTGGGCCACTGCAGGAAATTAGTAAGTAATGTGTTTTATATTTGGCTTACTGTCAAACATGTTTTCTCTACATGACATGTAAAGTTTTGTTGTGTCAACTGTTCTGTATTGCCGAGCTTAATAAAATTCCTTTTGTGCTAATTATGATTGGCATTAAAGTGAATATGTCAAGTTTGAGTGTTCCTATGCTCTGTAGTTTAAAATACTCAAATCTGCATACTTTACCCAGATAAAGATCACAGCATTGAATTATTTTGTGAAAATTAGCTTGATGTTGACTGACGCTTGTACAGTATATTTGAAATGTCTTCCTCATATAAAAATAGCTTTTAGGACCAGAACAAACACCTGTGTAAGACTTTTAATATTAATATATCAGCAGAAACCAGAAACACAAAAGTGACTTTCTTTTTCATTTCCCTCTAACTAGTAAATCGAAGTTTAAATTGAACTACCCAGACCCACCCAGTGGTGATTATTCCCATAACTTTAATCATAATTAGCCAAATCAAAATGTTACTTAGTCTGATTAAAGATCATATTTTAATTCATTCTGATTACAGTTATGGGAATAATCACAGTTAATGGGGTTTATAAATGTATTCTCCAACAGACCCCAATCAAATTAATTTAATTATTGAGACATTATATGTATATGTTCTG